TTAAAATCTTAATAGCTTTAAGCTTTTAAGGAAGACTTTTTATGGCCATAATGTTCAACAGGTGCTTTGAAACTAGTGAATGTTAAAATGTTAATGTTTGTAAATGTCTCCATATTTACATTGTGCAGAAAATTATTTTAATTTTTTCCTCCTTAATATGTTTGTACATGAAGCGCTTCAAGGAAACAGGCATGAAGATGAATAATGCTTATTTGTTTGTTATGCTCACTGAGACATAAGAGTTCACTAGGAGTCAAGGAATGATATGAATCAGTTCTTTAGATCATGGCTGGAAACTTTCATGTAAATGTACATCTCCTTGGATTTTCTCACACCTAAACAAATGTTAACTGTTCCAAATTCACAATCCAATGTTGATTGTTTGATAGAAGTTGTGAACTTCTGTGACCTCACTTTAGATTTTCTTCCCAGATCAAGCTGACATTCTGTGATATAACAGGAGCAGCAATAAACGACTCACTCACTCATTATAAACCAAGCATGGGATACTGCAAGGGGATCATCCAAGCCTCTGAATATTAATGAGGTTATTTTGTTATGAATATTCATATATTATGAATATATGAAGATGTGAACTTAAATTTATTATGATATCTAATTAGAAGAATTTTAAAACAATTGTTAACTGAAATTATGAGTTAATAAATTAACATTAATCACCACATGCATTAAGGAAATGAAGTCAAAATGAGGTTTTGGGTATTCTGAGATTTGATTTCTCGTAAATATTAATGTGTAAGTAAGCTTAATGTGCTATCATGTCTATCTCCTTAGAAAGTTATTTGAAGGGATGTTGCACTTGTTAGATGTGCAATTAGCAATTGATGTACATTTTGCTTTAATGGCGTGTTATCATCTGTGTGAAATGATACCATGTTGGTATCATGCCTGCGTTCTGTGTTAGGTAAACACTGTAAGATATTACAAGTTCTGACACGTATCTAGTCACACAATCTCCCTCTCAGAACTGTATAGCATTGATAAAAAAGAACATTTTCTTAACTTCTTTACGTGAATAGATGCTACTGGTTGATATCTAATGAAATGTACAGCATAAATTTGTCAAGATTATATGTTTACCTTTGATGGGTATACTTCAAGTGATTTGGAAGTTAATGGTTAAACCTTTGAAGTAAGTTGTTTATACATGAAGGCCAGCCTGTGTCATGATCTAACAAAGTGTTATGAGTTATTATTTAGCAAGAGCCTGGAGTTGTAAATTTTGTCTTGACGTCTTAAGTGTGTGTGGTAGATTTCAAAGCTTTGATTTTGAAGGTGTGATTTCATTTGATAAATATTTGGGTGGGTTTTCCTTCAAGGAGGCTTTTAATCAGGCAGAAAATGTTCCTAGCAGACTTTAAGAGGTCTCAGCGAGCAGTGAACTAACGACACAGAGAGTGTATGGATGAGAGAAACAGGAGTTTATCACACAGAGAAATCTTTTCTGTGGCGTTACGAGATAAGAGATTATTGTGGTTTTCTTGAAGTTGATATGCAAATGAATAGGTTTCAGTTTTCACGAAGTTGACATGCAAATGTATAAGATTTGGTTATAGTTTGATCCAGTTTAATCTCATTAAAATCATGCTCTTCATGCTCTCTGCAGCTACAGAGTCAGATGCTTGCATGTATAGCATCTACAAATATACTGGACAAAATAAGTTAGGGATATTGGTATTTTCATGATTGATATTTTATCAGTGTGTCAGTGAATAAATAGATCATTATTCATAATTTCAAAAATTACATATATCCCTAACTATTTTTGTCCAGTATATATATGAAGTAGATGCCATGAAACTGAAATGTTATTTTTTATGAAGAAAGACTGAACAATTATGATGTAATAAATATTTGATATAATATTACAATTTTAGAAATATTTGTAGTCAATATATTGCAAACTGGATAAATCTCTTAAATATTTTAGAGTCAGTCACAAGAAGGTTATATGTGTGTGTGAATTTGATCATTTTCAAACTGCTCGAGAAGAATTAATTATTTGTCATCTCCTCCTGATATTTGACTTTATTACATGAACTGTACAATATATAAATATTACAGCATATTGTGAATAACTTAACCTGTCTGTTTAACATACCGTTAAATTATAACCAACATTAAATAATGTAAGTGGGCGAGTTCATTTCAAACCAGGAAGACACCTAGAAGTCAGCATATGGTAACACATGGCTTGTCTAGAAATATGCTTTAGGGAAGGGCATAGTTGCTCATATAGCCTATTATTTATCTGAATTTACAACCACAACAAGGTCTCCATATCGGACTCTTATCAGTTGAGACATGGGAACATGACGAGAGACTAGGGGTTAAGGAGTTGAAGAATTTTGTCGCTGATAATGCCTTTATTCTCTTGAAATGGACATGCTATCTATGACAGGAGGAGGTCATATCTTATGGGGGTCACACAAGGGGTGTCAAAAGCACGAGAGATTTATTCAGGGATCATTAGTCCATAGCTGTATTTTAAATTTCAGGACATGGGGAAAAGTTTGGAATTTAAATTTAGGTAATGAATATGGCATTTCTTTTAAAAAGGGGAATGTTTTCGTTTCATTGTTCCTTGGGAAAAAATCGAATTGTGTTTACTCAAAAGTGTAATTTACATTGATAATGATGGAGAAGATACATGAGATTTTAATAACTACGACTTCACAGCTTAACAGATAGAGCTATTTGTTTTGTGAGAACACAAAGGCGTGTTGGGCATTGTTCTTACCTTCATGTCACATAGACCTCAGATTTGGAACTTTGAGTTCGTAACATAGCGTGAAAGAAGAGAAGCTCAAGAAGAAGATGATAACCGAAGAGCAGGGTCATTACTTCAAAGAGATGTGACTCAATTTCCTTTCTGTGTTTTTTCACAATCCGAATTTTTTCAAAATCTGGGTAGGTCAAACATTAAAGTGAGCAGAATAAAAAAATCTGGCTTTCAAGAAAGGCATACATATTCACAGGTGTGTATTAAATATTAGAGAAGCTGTAAGCTAAACAAGCCTTGACATAAAAATAACAACCATTGCTCACAGGGAATTGTTAAACTAAGCATATCTTATATGCTAATTGTCATCTTGTAGACAACAGTGTCACCCAGTGGTCCCATCATGAGGATTGTATGAATACTAAGAAACCCTCAAGTAAGGGGAAGCACATGTGACACATGTGGTCTCACCTTAGGCAAGTGAGTTTGTTCAAAATCGTCTCTGTTCACCCAGCAGGAAAATGGGTACCCGGTGGAAAAAAGTCATATGACTATAACCTTCTAGCGCCTAACAGGCAGCTTGGGTTATCCGGGGTAATAATGGCCTTGATTGTTAGCGCTATGAGCATACCTAGTGTGGAGTTTGGCGCTATATAAATGGACACATTATTATTATTATTCTATAAACTGATCCTTAACAAAAGTGACAGTTGTGACACCCTCTCTCATATTGTGTACCCAGAATGTTGTTCAAGGTGTCAGTGGATCGGCACAACGTTTGACCAGCCTGATTCAAAGACCTCTTGTCAACACAGCAGTATGTGAACAGGGACATACCGTCCCTAGATTCATAAGTACTTTGTTCAATATTTACTCCTCTTTTTCATGAAGGTTGGAACGTGCCAAACCAGCTTTGACATGACCGTGCCCCCAGAAAATCATATGTTGATGGTTAAATTCCATCTATTAGACCTACACCCTGCCTTTAGTGCTATGTGTACCAGAGCTATTGTCCACTAATTGTTTGGGTATCTTTCCTGATGGATGCCAAGGCTGACCTTTAGTGCTAAATGACCTCCATTTCCTGCCATTATGAGCATTTTTTGTTGTGGTCCAATAACGATAATTGTTTTATTTATTTTCCTTCGAATTGTTTTCTGGAACTTACGGAAACAGTCATATGGCAGATGCCAGAATCGTTGATGGCGACTGTTTTATTCTCTCAATAATTCCGTTTCCGTGCAGCGTTTTATTATTAAGGTAATATGGTGCTGTTTGTGGTCTGGTTTGTAGGTTGAATCTATTTGTTTGCCCTTTCATATTGTGGAAGTTTACCGTGGACAAAATGAACATTGGGCTATGTAGACGATATGAGGAATTGGTGATCTGTTCGATACCATGGAGAAAATGGACAAAGTTTTATGATTTTATGTTATTGGAAATTGTAGATATTACAGACTAAGCAACCACGTTCCACCATCTTAAACCTGCCAAGGGTCACAGCATCAAACTTAATCAAAGACCAGTATCTGTTATTGCGATGCAGCTTGTTTTTATTTTTTAATTTTTAATATTGTAATTTTCACAACTATTTTACACTGTACAGAATCTGTTTTATCAAATAGATGAAGTTGGTTATTCGCTTTCATTTATCTTTATGTGTAAAAATACTTTGAATAAGTAATTAACAGGTCGAGGGAGATGATGCAATAAAATATTAACAGTATTCCCATATTTGTGTTAAAAAATACTACAAGCTGATGCTTATTAAATGATGTCCTAAGCATTAAAACTGACAGAACTGGTGTAATTTGAGATCAACACAGCCATATTCAAGACAAAAGACCATAAAGCATAAATTGAGAAAGATTCCGGTAATTGAGTCTCATTTCCTGTGCTTCAGAGGCCATGTTTTACCGTATTACTCCTCAAAATAATTCTTCATAAATGACCTTGTCAATGATTCAGCTTCCAGTTTCATCACAGTTTTGGTCTTTGTTTTGTCAATACCATTCTATACTACATGGAACTGCTGTGAATATTGCTGGAATGTTGATAAAAGTGACTTAAAACTAAACTTACTCACCAAATCTCATATGTTTCATTCAAGTAGCCAATGTCTATGTTCTACCTGACTTTGTGTCACATGTTGACTGATGGGCTTTGATTTAACTGAAATAGTGTTGAAAGAAGCATTAAAATTCACTCACTCACTCACTTGAGAACCTTTTTGACAATATTTTTCCTTCTATTTCAGGTTTTGTTTGCGTTGAATCAGACGCTGTTCCAACATGAAGCATATCGGACCACAAAAGGATCTGTTCCGTATACCACAGAAGACCTAATAGACCATTATAACTGTGGAGACTTGAACTCCATTATATTTAACCATGATACGGCCCAGGTGCCGAATCTGGTGAACTCATCTCTCCCGCCAAGTCAGTTAAAGACAGCCAAACGTATTGACCAGTATTTTAGAAGTGAACTTATTGTGAAACGAAATCATAGGATGTCGCAGCGAGTGATGACTCTTCTTAAAAAGTATCCCAAGAAAAGCTTTTTCTTTGCATTTGGTGCAGGTGAGTGTAATACCTTTTATCTTGACATTTACCATTTTACATTTGCAGGAAGTGGGGTAGAGTTTCTCTAAACACACTCTATCCACACATCCACATATGGATGCTAATAGATCTGACTGATAGTTAGGAATAGTTAAGTTCGTATCTCGCATCAATATATTATTTTGTAATGGCACAACACATACACCAATATATACTACTTAAGAATATTAAGTTAGCACTGTACAAGCTGATATGCCTGCTGTCTTTGATTTGAGTGTGCCAATTGTACATGCACATATCGTACATGCTGTAGGTACATTGAGTGGGTACATTGAGTGGGTACATTGAATGGATACATTGAGTGGGTACATTGGGTACATACATTGAGTGGTTACATTGAGTGAGTACATTGAGTGGGTACAATGAGTGGGTACACTGAGTGGGTACATTGGGTACATACATTGAGTGGGTACACTGAGTGGGTACATTGAGTTGGGACATTGAGTGGGTACACTGAGTAGATACATTGAGTGGGGACATTGAGTGAGTACATTGAGTGGGGACATTGAGTGGGTACATTGAATGGGTACACGAGTGAGTACATTGAGTGGATACAGTGAGTGGGTACATTGAGTAGATACATTGAGTGGGGACATTGGGTACATACATTGAGTGGATACATTGAGTGGGTACATTGAGTAGATACATTGAGTGGGTACATATTGAGTGGGTACATTGAGTGGGTACACTGAGTGGATACATTGAGTGGGTACACTGAGTGGGTACATTGGGAGGGTACACTGAGTGGATACACTGAGTGGATACATTGAGTGGGTACACTGAGGGGGTACAATGAGTGGGGGTACATTGAGTGGGTACATTGACTGGATACATTGAGTGGGGACATTGAGTGGATCCATTGAGTGGGTACACTGAGTGGGTACATACATTGAGTGGGTTCATTGTAGATACATTGAGTGGGGACATTGGGTACATACATTGAGTGGGTACATTGAGTGAGTACATTGAGTGGGTACACTGAGTGGATACATTGAGTGGATGCATTGAGTGGGGACATTGAGTGGGTACACTGAGTGGGTACATTGAGTGGGGACATTGAGTGGGTACACTGAGTGGGTACATTGAGTGGGGACATTGAGTGGGTACACTGAGTGGGTACATTGAGTGGGGACATTGAGTGGGTACACTGAGTGGATACATTGAGTGAGTACACTGAGTGGATGCACTGAGTGGGTACATTGAGTGAGTACATTGAGTGGGGACATTGAGTAGATCCATTGAGTGGGTACACTGAGTGGGTACATCGGGTACATAGATACATTGAGTGGGGACATTGGGTACATACATTGAGTGGGTACATTGAGTGAGTACATTGAGTAGGTACACTGAGTGGATACATTGAGTGAGTACATTGAGTGGATACATTGAGTGGGTACATCGGGTACATACATTGAGTGGGTTCATTGTAGATACATTGAGTGGGGACATTGGGTACATACATTGAGTGAGTACATTGAGTGAGTACATTGAGTGGGTACACTTAGTGGATACATTGAGTGAGTACATTGAGTGGATGCATTGAGTACCCAGCAGGCACATCAACGTTGTTTCAACGTTGAGAATAGGTTGATCCTCAACGTTGAAAATAGATTGAAAATAGGTTGTATATGAAAGTTTTTTTGACGTAGATATCCGACGTGGAATCAACGTTGAAGTTTGACCGATTATCAACGTTTAAAAAAGGTTGATCCTCAACGTTGAAAATAGATTGAAAATAGGTTGTATATGAAAGTTTTTTTGACGTAGATATCCGACTTGGAATCAACGTTGAAGTTTGACCGATTATCAACGTTGAGAATAGGTTGATCCTCAACGTTGAAAATAGATTGAAAACAGGTCAGTATATGAAAGTTTTTGACGTAGATATCTGACGTCGGAATCAATGTTGAAGTCTGACATATTATTAAGGTTGAAAATGGGTTGTTCCGTGGTTGTGTCTGGGAGGTATTACGCTTTCCTGTAAATAGACTCGCAGACTTCATCTTTAAACTACAATAAAGTAGCACCAAACTCCTGCATCCAGCTAAAATACCCAAAAGCTACCTGCAATAAACAGTGTTCAAACAGAAAATTGCAGTAAAAATATTTACCTGATAAAATACTTGGTTCAAATTCCACATTCAATATAATGTTCATTTAAGTTTTATGTCAGTTGGACGTATAATTCCAGTAAGAAGAAAAGAGTATTCCAAATTAAGAAAAACTATTTACTGTTGTATTGTTACCTTGAAAAGGTGAAAATTGTCCCAAGAAGACATTTTGTCTGAATTTCAACTCTTAGACAGACCCCTGAATAAACACAATGCAATTACTTTCACCATGAAAGGGATCCAAGATGACCAGGAACTATACCTGAAGACAGCACATAAAACAAGTCACTTTTCATGAAATCTTTATGAACACACACGCACACAGAAAACATGGTTTAATGCATAATGTAAAACATCACACATGCCATAGTCTGTAGGTGATCTCTGTTGTTCTAATAACACAATATCATCTGCATATAGCATCAAAGTGACATTTACGCCACCAATTTCAATACCACAGTTCAGATTTTTCAACACAGTTACAACTCCAAAAACACAATTATCAGCTCCTCTTCGTTTTGCCACTCCCTGCCTGGCGGTCAGGTGGATACTTCAGAAACGCTCCTAACTCTTTCTTGAAATTGCTTTCGATGCATTCCCATCTCATTCCCTTTGAGATAGGACACATTCTGAAATTTTATATTTAAATACATGAATAAGTTATATGGAAGATATATTGTCTTAAATGATTCAAGTATTTGTTTAATCAATCACTTGAAAGGTTCATTTCACTGCTGTAACTTGGCATGTGAACATATGAACAGCATCAATACAAAATATGACGAAAAGTGTAAACAATTTATATTTTCAACCGAAGGAATGGAAGTTTTCTTAAACATTTTCAAAGAAAATCCTCAATTGCAAGTTGATTATTTAATTAGACTATGAATTACCGATAGGATGAATTAGACGATGCTTTACTGTCATATATTATTTGCTATGGTCATGACCTAAAATGCTGCACTTGGTAATTAACTTACCAGAGATGATTGAATACAACCTTGTATTCTTAAAAGAAAACTTGCCGCTTTGCCCATCAACATTCATTCTTGACATCAAATTGTTTGACATTGTCCTGCAAAACAATGGAAGATTGTTGTTATTCTGTCAGATTTAGTTTTCTTTAGAGATTCTCGAAATGATTATTTCAAATTAATAGGAGTTGAACTGATGTAGCAATTTTGCTAACAGGAGTCATAAATTGTAACAAAAGCCATTTTACATTAAATGATAAGAAAACAAAATGGGTGGTGGTTCACAGGTCAAAGAACAAGTCTATTGTGGGAGGTCTCCCAACACCATTTGTTCCCAAACACAAGGAAGTATGGATCATGGAGTTCTGAAAACAATAATGAGCTCTCATAAGTATGCAATATATTATCTATTATCTACTCTCTCTCTCTTTGTCATTTGTACACTCATAAAACTCAGATAAATAACTTTTTTATAATTCATAAATGTTTACACTTAATCTCTTATAGGAACGCTTTAGAAAATCTCTCATATAATGAATTATGTGTAGCATATATTCAATGACGTCATAACTATGCTTCTCTGAATCATGAACAATAAAATAATGAGATTAAACTCTACATTGCCAGAAATAATCTATCATACCCTGAATAATAAGACATTGAATAACATCTCTTACAACTCCAATCTACACTCAAAAAGACTTAAATGTACTCAGTAAACAAACATCGCTGGCACAATACCTAAATTCTTGGAAACAGTGCATCTCTGACTCTCAATTCCAAGAAATGGAAGTCCTACTCTATTTGACCAAAGGGACACAGGTGGCCAAAACATATTGAAATGTAGGTCATACACTGAAAATAACTCTGATTTAAAACACTACAAATATACACCTTCTCTCTAATATACCTCGATAGATGATCTTAACAAGGAACATGTACATAAAATGCTGTTATCTAACAACACCTGTACTTTAAATAATGGACTCTTCAAAATCTCAGTATGTTTCACTGCACACATATTAGATTGCAAATAATGAAAAACCTACCCTTTGACAATAATAAAAAACATCATATTCAAATTCTACAGCTGACCAAATACCTGAAGGGTGTGTTTCCCAGCAATAAACATCTCTATATATCTATAAATGAATGACTTCTGTCCTCTCGTGCTATCTTGCATCCAGCTGTTTACGGGTGAAAAACAATATGGCCAAGCAAGGGAGTGTTCATTAAACTAAACATCTCCGGCAGAAATCTTTGTCAATTTTTTCTCTTAAATGATCAACCTTAATATATAAATGAAAATAAAGACCAACTTTTATCACCAAAAAAGACCAAACATTATCACAAATATTCAAAACAGGTGGTAATGAAAGAGCATTATCATCTTTCTCTTAAACTTTGTGGTGGATATACTGGAAACAAGTGAAATGTTAAAAACGTGTTACCTTAGCCTTGCTCCTTTTATGTGATCCACAAAAATTGCTGCCACCCAGTCTACGAAGATGAGATTTCTGCAAATTACATTAAAATAATCTTATTTCATAATTAAATGTTCCTTACATTAAAATTACTTCTTTTGTATGTAAGATTTTAACCTTTACGAGACATGAATTATCATATCCCTTCCAAACAAGTGTAAGAATGAAAGTCTGTGGGTGCAGTTTTGTTAATTGTCCCATCAAAGAATCATTAGTGAAGTTACACTTTTTGCAAATATATAAAAGTTCAAATAAACTATATACAATTTCATCCTTCAAAGACTTTCACAAGACATTTTAAAGTGAACATTTTCGTTGCATTTCCTTACGCCATTCTCCACCACCCCCTTCCCCCAATAATATACATATGTTGACAGGGTTCAGGGCGT